AAATCAAAACCAGCTAATACAACCCCCCCAATAATCATGTTTCCCCCGTAATGGGTGGAGACCTCAACCCCCCCAATGTTCCAGCCAAAGTTACGCCCTTGCTGGGCAGTTACATTCATAAGTATGAATACTTATTTGTGTATTTATGGGGCAGCTGAGGACTGGGCAAGCAGTTTAGGAGTATGGATGGATGGATGGATGGATGGATGGATGGATGTGTGACAGCATGAGGGTGCTCTCTCCCCTGTCTTCACTCACATCGTTGCTCCTCCTCTGGGATGATCCTGTACACCTTGTAGGGCTCCGATATGTCCAGCTGAGACCGGTCGCTCACCTCTTCAAAGTCGGGGCTTTTGTTCAGCGCACAGCGCAGTCTGGTCTTCCAGGTAGCTGGCTCAGCCTTGTCCCCCTCCTTAAACTTACCTTTGTACAATGCCCAGGCCTGGAGAAGAGCACAGAGACCAGACTTTCAGCTGGACAGCGCCCCCAAAAGGCGGCATGTGTTTCTGCACAACTAAACAGACCAGCTGCCTTGATGAGAGTATGTTATAGAAATATAGACCCAGCAGTACCACTCATTTCTGACTGATGTAACGTGTTCATCCTTCCATGTTCCTGATCCTTCTGGGCTCAAAGTACCAGACGTGACCCCCGAATTAATTCCCAATAATATTTCGTACTTCTGGGATCAGAACAAAATGATCTCAATCATTTAATCCTTAAAAATAAACACACCAAACTTTCTACCAAAATTCTAACAACAATCATTAGCAGTAATAATGTTTAATTAGCAGAAAAGCTGTGTGCAAAAACTGATCACCTCCTGGCAGTGAAACATCTCCTACATTGTTTGCATGAATATTTACATGCTAAAGGAGGAACTGACAATAGTTATACTGTAAAAATTGTGGCAGGAGTCACAGCATTGGAAAATGAAGCAGCTTTCACTTGCTCTAATGAAGATGATCCTGGGCAAAATTGAATTATTAGTAAAACTTTATTTATAAACGAACACATGGCAGATGACGAGTTGGTGCAGTAAATAATATTATTTATTTATTTGAACACTTTTAAACAACAGGAGTTGAACCCAAAGTGCTATACAGGCGATAAACCATTAAAAACAACGCAAATGACAAACCAACGTAACAAGAATTTAAAAGAACACAGAAATAACTGGAAAAAAAACTTTAATTGTTTAATAATAGTAGAAATGAATGATGATGCGCTTCGTGTTAACAAAGTGCGTCTCACACTGATACATTACTTTACCACTATAACTCTTAAAAGCTGCGCACAGGTTTCCTTACCTTGAATATGGAGGCGTCCACCTCTTGGTTGTAATCCTGCTTTCCGGCGTGCTTCCAGGGGATGCGGAACATGGTGCGGGCCTCATCTTCCCAGGAAAGACCCGGGTACGAGAGGCTGTGGACCTGCTCGATGAGCCACTGACGGAGGCGGCGTGAGCCCGGTTTCACAGCAACCTGTATGCCACGGCGACAAGGCGTTTCGGGTGACATGTCGCACACAGACATAGGCATGTAACATACGGAGAGTCGATGCTTTCATAATAATAATTGTATTACCATAACCTGCTCCAGACTCCGCTGCATTGCATGGACTCCTACTCGCTTTCATTCATTTATACCGCTGAAATCAGAGCGAAGGGGTGGAGCGTCTTCCGGCCCCGGAGGAAGTACGGCTTTCCGCTAAGGCGCCTCTCTTCCAAGAAATGAAATTAAGCATGTTGCATTCATTATGCTCTCTTTAAAAAAAAAAAAAGTATTTCCGCTTCATTTCCTGGTTTTCTGCTATTTTCACCAGTTAAAAGCACCTGGCACCTCCTGCAGAGAGGGTACAATCAGACATTTGTACAAAATTGTTGGCTGTGTTTTTCTTGTGAAGATATATACCGCAGCATTACACAACCTCCCACACATTCGCCGCTAAACCGAAATGTGAATCAGAGTTTTTCACTTAAGTACATTCACGCTGTGTGAACTGACTACATTACTTTATTTCAGCAGTATATCATAGTGAATTATTGAATCAGTGATTCTTGAGATTAGGGATCCGCAAGTTTTGATTTTCTAAAAAAAAAAAAATCGATTATTTTCAAAACCTTTGTACACATCTGTTAAATGAGGATTTGGCTATCTAACCATGTTTAGGAACAACCTCCCAGTTGTAACGTTATTATATTAATAATATATAAAAATACATATATATATATATATATATATATATATATATATATATATAAATTACATGTTTGCTGGATCAGCACTAGATTTTTGCTAACACTATCAGACACATAAAAATGTAGAAAGTTATTTTGAATTAACACAGATATTTTGACTCCTAGGGACATATGTCTGCCTGGGATTTTCACATCAATGCACAGCTGCACTCACACCTTAACCATGTTAAGCTTTGCTCTTTCCTGGGCATGATTGCTTTCTTCTTTAGTTTAACAAACCAATATTTAGTGCTCATGTAGTTGGCTTGGTGTGATTTTTACAGTATTCAGCACATCACGATGGCTTGTTGCTTAATCAGGGGCTCAAATTTGACTTCCCCAAATCCTCCATTACGTTAGGAGGTGGAGTCGGTGATGAAGGAGATTTCAGAAAGCAGACACAGGGTTTTATTGAAGTACCCCACCTCTGTTAATACCAATATGTGGAATTACATGAATAAAAGAAGCAGATTCATAGGTAAGACAGCCTTGGAGGTGAATTTCAGTCTTCCAGTGGACATGAAACACCCAGTTCAGAGATTTGAAGCCTGAAAGTGACTCGTCATCATACAAGTCACTGTATTAGTTTAGTTTAAGTTTACAGAACGTAAGTGATTATGGGCTCTTTTCTATAGCAGAACAATAGAGTAGTGATATTTTATTAATTCCTGTAGGTAAATTCTCTTTTCTGTGCCCCATCTTCCTCTCGATACAGGTAAGAGCAAGCCTGGCAGTCACAGTGAACTGGCAGAGAGCTGGGGGGCACGCTTGGCAGTCACAGTGAAGGGGCAGGGAGCTGGGGGTTTTGGGTCTCGCTCAGAAGTTCATGGACATGTAACTAATCTGTTGAGGCTGGGCTTGAACTGGCACCCTGATCACAGGCACAGAGACTTAACCTGCTGAGCCACACCCCACCCGCAGGGGTGAAGTTGCTATTAATGCAGTAAAGTTACAGTAACCTGGTAGTAAAGTCAGAGTAGCCTAACAGTAACATGGTAGTAAAGTCGAAGTAACCTGGCAATAAAGCCTCAGTGATGTGGCAGCAAAGCTGCAGTAACTTGGCAGTAAAGCTGGAGTAACCTTGCAGTAAAGGTGGAGTAACCTTATGGTAAAGCTACAGTACCCAGAAGACTATAGCACCAAATGTTTGCCTCAGATCTTGCTATGTCAGCCAGCTCTCCGCTCCAGCTGAAAGATGCTGCAATGTGGAAGACATCCTTTAAATCAATTACAGCCGACACATGACATATATAAATGATTTTATGTATTATTTATTTACAATTATTTATACAGATTAATGTTAAAATATTCAACATGTATTTTTACACACATCTGATTGAAGTACACCCTTGTACCTAATTGAAATGCTCATTGTACCTAATGAGCATTTCACTCTGAATGTGTCATGTTAGGGTTATGTACTTCTGTATGAATGATTATGGCTCTGACTGCTGCGTATTGCTTAATAACAAAACAAGGCAGAATTTGCTGGGTAAAACTGCAACACTCAAGGCACTTTGTTGCTTTTAGCAGCTCCTGATGGGTCTCTAAAGATACACAGCATTAGCTCAGGGTTCACTACTAAAAGGGCTAAACCTGGAACGAAGGTGGCAGAGGGTGCTGACAGGATGCAGGTGCATGCGGGTGATGAGACCAAGACCTATACTACACAAATTAGTCTCTGGAAGCTTCCATCAGTTTCCTTGGCGTGTTGGAGAAACTCTGGAGGTTCTCGGTCAGGCTGGGGCTGTTAGCCTACTCCTCGTTCAGGAGTTTCAGAAATTACCGCTGGAGCCAAAGGCCTAGTAGGGCAGCGGGTACAAGCCAGGGACCTGGCTCATCCAGTTTTGCTGTCCGTTCCTCTGTCGCTCCAGCTGCTGCTGCTCCTTGTACTGCCTCAGCAGCTCCTCTACCCTCTCCTGGTCCTTGAAGGAGTTATGGCTGTAACTGGACCGCAGCCAACTACGGTACTGGGGGGCAGAATCAGGGAGGTGAGTGAAGGGGTGCCCAAACTCGCAAAGGACAGCAATGGCAGGCTGCTCTGAAGGACATCTGAGCTCAAGTGGAAACATGACAAGAAGCTTCTTGGTTGTGAATGATACACTCTGACATTACAGTACACACAGGTCACCATGAAACAGCCCACACCCTTTTGGTGTCTGACACAATGGATTGATTCATTTATACATTAAGTTCATGAACCAGTCACCAACCCAACCAGTTTCTGTAATAGCTTTTCCTATTCAGGAGGCAGGGAACGACCCAGGATGGGCTGCCAACCCGTCACAGGGCACACTCACACACCAGTTACTCGCACATGCACACCTAGGGGCAATCTTTTCTTATGCCGTCCTGTCAGTGAACTCAGCATAAAAAAAGTGTGACACCGTGGTTGGATAGCCCTTCTACAGCAGACATGGTTAATAAGCTGAGGGATGATTGATTTCCTTCTAGCTAAAGCAAGAAACCAGCTAAAGTCCAGTTGCTTTCACTTGTAATGGATTTCTTTGGTGTGAATCCAAAGCAGCGGTTCCTGTGAGCGTCCTGTATGAGTGACTACGTCACAAAATTCAAACTTAGCAATGGGCAACCAGAAAGTTTCAGATCTTTGGAAAGAAGTTGTGGAGAGCTCCAGATCAGATGATGGGTGGATTTAAAAGGCCCTTGGAACACTGAAGATCACTGTTAAGAAATAAACAACCTGAGATACCTTCAAGACCTGGCCTAGAATATGGGATCCTCTAAAATTTGATTAGGAGACAGATCAGGGAGGCCAGCAAGAACACCATGTCCACTTTCAGGGACTTTTGTCAAACGATGATCACCTTGGGCTACAACAGTGTCACAAGTTCTGCATAATGGAAATTGGATGTTTATCTTTCAGGGTCATATTGACCCACTGTGCCAAGGTTGTGACTAAATAATAAACAGGTCTGTGATGGGCCCAGTTCAAGTCCTGAGCCCAGTCTCACTGTATACCTGCCCGTTCATGTTCAGCTGAGCCTGAACAGCTCTGTAGTAAGAAATTAGTAAATATCACAAGGGGAGATACCAGAAGGTCACCACCCATGAAGACACGAACAGACGGGAAAGGAGCCTCTGCACTCATTCATTTGTTTGACTTGCAGACTCTCAAAATCAACACCTCAAAATCACAATTGAAGCTCTCCTGGACACTCTACAGTTCACTTACAGGTCAAACGTCTGTTGACGATGTCATCAACATGACCCTGCACCACATTCTGCAGCACCTGGACATCCATGAGTCTTAAGCCTGCATCCTGTTTGTGGATTTCAGCTCTGCCTTTAATACTATCAACCCTCAAGACACTCAGCTTCCAGCCATCTCTCTGCTACTGGATCCATGGCTTCCTGACCAGCAGAAAACAGATCATGAAGATTAGAAACTACACTTCAGATCACGTCTTCCACAGGACTGGTGCCCCACGAAGACGTACTCTCTCCTCTCCTCTGCTCTACTCCCTGTACACCTTCACAGAGTTTGCAGACAACACCATCCTGATTGGAATCATGGAGAATTCTGATGAGTCTGGTTACCAAAAATAGTTCAGTCGCCTAGTGACACGGTGTGGTGTGAACAAATTAGTGCTGAAGACACAAAAGGTCGTGGGCATGATCATTGACTTCTAGAACCCACCACCTCCACTGGTCAGACAGGACACCAGACCTTCAAATTCCTATCATCCAACAAGACATCAAATGGGACACAAGCATCCCCAGTTTCATCCATTCAATGGCATATTTTATCATAGGTATGTACAGTGCTGCCCAAGTTTTGGGATGCTTGCATATTTCGGTAAAAATTTACTGATTTTATAATTAAAACCATTACTTTATCCGTTTACAAAAAATATAATTAGAAACAACCAGTAATTTTAAGTAAATAAATCTGCAGCATTTTTACGGAATAATGCAAGCCTCTCAGAGGATGCTCCGTGAGTACTACATGGGCGGTGGCTCGACATTTAATCCCAGTTTTTTTTTAATTTTGATGCCAGATTTCCTTTCCGGAAAGCGCTAGTGTTTCTTTGCCATAGAAAACTCCAGAAGAACACTGCCCCCCACCCCCGCTCAGACAGGCCACTGGCACAGTAGGGAGGGTGCACTGCATTCCAATCCTGGGGAATTCCCATGCGTTTCTAAGAAAACCCACTCTCCTTTCCAGGAATATGCCTGTATTTCACCCCCACAGCAGTATTTCACACCCACACTCAGGCAGATACTAAACATCAACAGTTAACTTATCAGTGAAAGTGTTTTCCTTTTCTAAGTCATTTCAGGGTCTCTACACAACCTCACCTGGACAGCGACAATGCACATTAGCGTTTATTCCTTCATCCTGATTATTGGGTTACATCAAATTCTAGGCTAATCTGACCTGTGGTACCTCAGTAAACCTGGTTTGAGGCACATTATGCAGAATTATTATATTTACAATAAACCAGCTGCCTGTTGGTGTTAATCTCTGGAAACTCCCTTGGATCGTGGGGTATTTTTAATCTCAGAGAGGACGGGTTTTGGCACACAGCTGGGGGGATAACCAGCTCCGAGGACAGGCAGGGGTCCAGAGGAGGGGGAAGGGGACAGACACCAGCTTCACGGTGTATGAATGAATGAGTCAGAGAAGGCAGTGAGTGAATAAGGCTTTTCACTATGATGGAAGCAGAGAAGAAGCAGAAAAAGCAGAAAAGCTTTAAGCTTTGTCCTGTGTTAGCTTTCTGTTCCTGTCAGTACCGACCCGTGTCTTAAATCAGCCGTAAAATACCCTCAAAACAATTATTTATAATCCAATTTGTTTGTAACCTCTTGGTTACCTTGATAGTCTTCCTTATCCATGCAATGATTGGT